TGACGATGATGATGATGATGATAATGGTATGCGGAGAGGGCTCACCACCCATCCACGAACTGGCATGCCACTCGGAGAACAAACCATCAACAATTTGGTTAGCAAGCTGTAAACACACCTGAACGGCGAACAGTTCGACCGATTCCCCAGTACACTCTCTTTCAGCATAGTGAGGTTGCAACTATCTCTCCGTCATGTCATTTGAACCCACATATGCCTGGTTAAATCAATGTCCCTCTAAAGAAGGATGGATTTCTGAGGCTGGAATATCAAGAAGCTTCTTGAATTGAAAGCTTCTTCCGTTCATTCTTCCTTCATTATTAGGAAGTGCAAGAATTTGGCTCAGTGACGTCGGATGATGACCTGGCTAGGAGGCGCCTCAACACCACAGGTTATCAAGAGTAAGTTATAAAGGTTTTAGTCTGAACTTTTCAGGGCGTATGGGGAACCAATCGTTTATCAACCAAACACGTGCCGCCAACTGTTTCCCATGAAAACATTGCAGACACTCCCGGATCCACTCAGATCTATTGATGGCTGGTCCCCTTATCATCCTGCGACGTCTACTTGGCAAGTAAGCCCTTCACACTTGAACGCTTGTGTCGTTTTGACGCCCAATTGGTGTGGCCCTGACGCTGAAAGAATATTGGTGGATGTCGTTGAGCCTTGCAAGGGATCTGAGTGACTGAATATGTCAAATATTTACCTTCTGAGTTTAAAGAGTCTCGAGGGTGTCTCGCGAGCTTCCCAAAACAGACACCAGCTTCCCTGAAACCCAAGTTTCTGGCAGGCATCATAGTCTTATAATAACACCGGGTGAGAACAGTCCTTTGCCTTCTTTACCCTAAGTGGATATTTGCTTTGAAAGGTAAGGAAAAAACTGTAGGCAACCATGGCACCTCTCGCTTTTGGTCGAAAGCAGCTGAAGAAATCGCATTTTTGGGGGCAGCTGGATTTGTGGATATTATACATTTTAGTAAGGCTTGGCACACATAAGACGGTTTTAAGGGCTTCTTCAAGGGGAACCGTTTGAAATGCATGTGTGGTCAGATCTCGGTAGGTCAACCCTTCGAGACAATTCATCCCTTAGTAGATTCATCAGGTAGGTGTGACACAGTATTCATAAACCTCTTTTCCCAAAGATGGATTCTCTGCAGCTGAATAATCTAAAGCGACCGGCAAGATGAGTACCGCACGGGGGAAACGCCCATTTACCCATGTTAAACTTACCCTTGCTTCAGAGAACGTTCATCTGCCCTGCTCGGGGGAGCGGACTGTCTCTGAAAAACTCTTTTTGGGATCGTGTGGAGGGTTCAAGGCAATCTGTATCAAGTATAGGTTCACATTATGTCCAATGAGGCTTATACAATCGTTTGTTACTTACACAATATAGTTTTATCTCCTTCATTGGCAAAAAGTCGTAACATAAATCCATTTTCCTGACAATTTTCTGTCATGATTTGCTGTTCGATCAGCCGAAAAATTTCAACTCCTCCAAGTTCGACAACATGATGCCTCGTTATGACTTCATCAATGAGGACAGACCATATGAAGTGTAAGTCCTTACATCCACTTGCCAGAGTATTTGATTCACTCATTTGGATTCTAGTTTGGTTTTCGGGAGAGACTCAACTGAACCTCTCGTTTGTGGTGTTCTTCTTAAATTGAATATGCTGCACCAAGGTCATCGAATGTTCCAGTTGGCATGACATTTGAGAGATCGAAGTATTGGTTGTTTGTCTGTTCGCCGAGCTTGGCAGTTGGATTGCAAACGTCTCATCGGGGTGAGATCTTCATTGTGGGGTTGAGTGAGTAGTGACGATGTCACATTTAGCATTTAACATTTAGCACTAAAGTATAAGGAAACGCGGATAACACCATTCGCATTACAAAGCCTGCTTGAAAGTTTCGGAGAGAACACGAGATGAATAAGACTGTTTGTCCCTTCTGTGAACTTCTCTTGCAAAGGCAGAATATCACGGGGAAAGAAAATACTAATTTTATACGGAGAAGTGCAAAATATCCCAAATTATTGACACACAAAATACGTCGAAGGTGATGCACTTGTGAAAGAGTGATTTGCGGTGAACAGCTCTAAAACTATCAGTGGTAGCTACAAGGGGAGGCGTGCAAATTCATTCTCATGTCACGCTGTGAACTTTACCCCACGAAATTTTGTGGTGAACCTTTGCGGCTTTATATAGAGTCCCTTTGGGTTAAGCACAGCACTGTCTAAAAGGTCACAGTATCTCCACCGAAAAAAGAACACTGTTTTCAGCCTAAAATATCAGTTAACTCGTGTCAAAAATCAATATATCTCCACTGGAAGTATCTGCATCGGAGTACAAAATCTCACCATTTCTCCTCATTTTTAACGTTGATCAATGTCACCAAGAGGTCTCGTTAAAGTGTAAATAGACCAGCTATCATTCCTGTCAGTTTTTGCGTAAAAAAACTTCAAGTATCGACAGAAAGACAAAATTTTGTGTGAATGCCGTCTACCCCTACTTGTCAAAGTGCTTCTCGGAAGTGAGGTAATAACTTCGAGTCTTTCTGTTTCTTGACCGCTATAGCTGCTCGTACGCAACTAGAATTGATCAAATTCCCACGTACAGGTAAGTTAGACTTTTTACTCTCAAATATATTTATGATCTGGTCGGTTAGACTGTAATGTCAGGTTACACGGAGGCCCAATTAAATCCAAAACACTGTACGGTTTGTCCAAGTTAGATTTAACCTGTCGGACACAAATTAGGTGACAAAAACATGACTGTTTTATTGGCATCGCATATCGGATCTTTACAATAGCCTGATAGAAGCTAAGTGATCAAGATCAATTGATAAACACACATCAAGCAAAAACTAATTGATCGCAATAAAATCGGTGAAAAGAAAAGGAACGAATGGTTGTACGGTATTGATTGTTCTCATAACTGTGGCTTAAACATTGATTTTCACTAATTATCATTAGGCTCCATGAAATTGCGCGGCTACCCTACGAGATTTTAGTGTGATACCACTGGACGAGATGCAGAACAAATTAAGGGACGAGATGGCTCAAGTGGTTAGAGCACGAATTTACCGACCTGAAAGTCCGTGGTTCGAACCCGACCTCTGCCACTCGACTTCCCCTGTCTAGACCAAGGCGACCTGACAGTATCCCAGCCATCGTGCTTCCTCCGGGTGGCATGGCAGTTGGGCATAAAAAGGGTGTTGCAGCTGAATGATTATTATTATCATTCCTTCGATTGCACTCTGTTTTTCACTGATTTCATAGCCCTTGCAAGGCGATCAACAGTTTACCTAAACATCTACCAGCACCGTTTACGCGCGGGTTCACAAATTTCACCGTCAGTTTCCAATGTCAGAGGAGTTTGTGCTTTCACTTTTTTCAAGATTGCATGACTGAGATCTTGGAGCGCCTCAGAATGCTTCTGATTAGTCCGAACAAGGCCTTTTTCTCACCCCTTCAATGCTCGTCTTTTTACTTTGGGGCTTTAAGTAGAGTTAGATAATCACCGCCAATGAATCGTTAGTGAATCAAATGGTGATGAGCAACACTGTTGAATCGCATCATCTCAAACCGCGGCTGATAGCAGTAAGGGTCATCACCCTATTAATTAATCAAGGCTTCCCCCCAGTAAGGCCACCGCCTTCTATTTGTGACTTCCATAACCAACCATTAATAAACAAATAGAACTCTTAAACATCTATGACTTGGATATGCCATTGACTTCAGTGGCTTATTACGGAAAATTGACAGGCTAAACGATCAAGCTCAATGCACCGGGTTATGATACCCAAAGCAGAGAGTTCGTTGGTTGTCAAGAGTTATTCCGTTCGAGGCTCTATAAATCTTATATGAGGTGATTCATCGTTCAAGCAAGCAACACAACCCTGCTTATAAATGCGCACGACGTTCAGTGAACCAGCCCTCTGGTATTTAGCTATCAGATTCAACTACTGACTTGACATTAAGTAGCACAAAACTAATCTTGCACCAATCCCTTTCTTCTTCAGTGGGTGTCATGGGACTCGCGACAGACGTGTGCAAGATGATAACCCGTATAAAACTTATAAACCACTGAACAAAGTACGCAGTGAAGTGCCCGCAAGAGCATCATTGAATCTGTGAGTTTATTAGCGAATCTGTTTTACTGAATACCTTTTTGTGCGTGAGACCGTACATCGACCAGTTGCAAACGATCACGTTGATAGGGCATAATTCGTAATATCATGAAAACAGCATATCTTCCAGGCCTTATGCGGAAGCTCAAAGGGCAAGGCACTTCAGGCGGAGTCAAAAAAGTAATACAGTTAAAGCACACACCACTGAAATGGAGACCGCGATTCAATATGGAGAGTGAACATTTTCAAGTTCCCTCATGAAATTCCCCGAACGTTCTTTGAATATTGAGCGATAGTGAACAAACGCTGCTTCATAATTTCCACATAAACCTTCCATCAGACGCTTGGACGGTGCTCTAATACCTGGTCGGACACTACTCGAATGTTTCGTCAGCAGTATACGTTACTAATACTGATAGCTCCCTCCGCTTGAACGCAAAAGGGGCGAGCTTCTTTAGTCAGAAGATAGATATTTCTGATTATTCCCATTAGGAGCGAAACCCGAGCCGAAAGCTTCTCTTCTCTGGTGTAACCTAAACAGAATAAAAATATACAGGTAGACGAGTTAAGCCAAACCCGCACGTACGTGTTTGCACATGTGCAATATCTGTACAATCCTCCCTCTTGTTCTGTTCAACCTGTGCTACCAACATTATCATAAACGTTTCCCACAGTTTTAAAGAACTGGTTTGTTTGGACAAGGCAAATCAAACTACTAATCACTCTACACCACCTACATCATTTTTGTTTCTGGTCGTCTTCTACATCTGAAAGCCGTCCTTCAACAAAATCTACATCATGAAAAAGTTTCCAATATATTCTTGGAAGCTTCGAATTCCTGCGAGATATTATTGTGCACTCAGGAGATAACCTAGATTGGTGTTGAAACGTCCAAGTCAGAGGGGACCCTCAGCTCAACGTGTGCGTTACATCGCCTTCTCAAAACAGTCATAATCTGCAGCTGAATGGCCTTATGCATGACTCAGGTCAGTTACAGTTCCAAATATCCCGACTACTCAGCTTAACTTTCTCCTCAGCGAAATTGATAATTTTGTGCTGGTCTTGATCTTTCCTCGGTTCAGAAGTAACTTGAGATAGCTTGCTTACAACACCGGTCCTTCAGGGTTCCAAAGGGAGAGAAACGTTGGTGATGATAGAATTGCTTGCGACCGCTAATTATCAGTCTCATTTGTTAATCTCTTTGGAACTAAACCTAGTTGATAATGCATGAGGTACCACTTGTAAGCGACCCATTCTTCAAACGCCGAACTCCGAATAATCGTATGAACTTATGGCTACTGGATCAATGCTCTATGGTTTGCGTGCATTTGTCCTCTGAAAACCTAGATTTCGGATTCTGGCTGCCTACCCCAAGTCGATTAGGTATAGCTGCGTCGAGAAGATTGACCATCTCTGTGTGCAGATGAAAGTGTAAAAGGTATAAACTCCTACGCGGCAAGTACTGTCTAGCTTCTACGTCATTTTGGTTGCGTATTGCGGTATGTGATCAATGCTCATCGATCGCGTAGACAAGCCACAAATCAAAATGTGTATAGCTGAGGTCATTCGGTTGAATAATGCGAGATGAGATTCAATGTTGTCAGTGTCTGAAACAGGAGGTTGACCAACTGTTTGACTGTGACTTCACTGAACATCCTGACAAACTTCCCGTGAGATTTCGCTTATGGTGGGATGATGGTGTGGCTACCAAGGTAGCTGACAATGGCAAAATAGAGCCACTCTTTTCAACATCAAACCAGCCTCGGTTCACTGGGTCCGACTAAGAAAACTTGCCGAGATCTCACTCAGTGAGTCATCTGATGCCTTTCTTTCTTAAACACCAAAAATCGAGACAAGAGACTTTCCCCCACCTAACAAGAGTCATACCTGATGAGTCCTGGAATGGACACAGCATATTTTGGACTGCTTGGTGGAAAGACGTGATTTTTTCAAGGTTGAACTACGTTTCAAGTTAAAGGCCCAAGACGGACGATTGGACTATTAGAGCAACGCTAAATAACAGTTTTCAAAAGATTAGATCCCATTGGCTACTATATTTAGGAGTAGGAGACACTTCACCCGACGCCCAGAAGAGTAAGCTACCTAAACTAAGCTCAAACCACTGGAGCAACGCTAAATAACAGTTTTCAAAAGATCAGTTCCCATTGGCTAGTATATTTAGGAGTAGTAGACACTTCATCCGACGCCCAGAAGAGTAAGCTACCCTAACTAAGCTCATACTACTGACCACTGTCAGCAGTTTTCCCCTGCCACGTACACCCATAAGCCGATCTGGGGACAGCACTCTCATACAACGACTTATCAGGCAGTCAGATTTTATGATAAAATTACGCTTTAAGAATATGCAGACAGTAAACTAGACATTTGGTTGTTGAGCGTGAGAAACCACTTAGCTTGTGTGGGGCGCATACGTTTCTGACCAGGTCAAAGGGGTACAGTTCCGAATAATGTTTTCCCAGAGACTGTTTGAGCGAAATTAATCTCTTCATGTATCCTTATGGAATAATTCGACCCCAGTGTCTAACTAGAGTGGATTGCCATGGGCGTTCTTCTTCCATAATGACACACACTTAAACTGTTACTCTCCCCTCTCAGATGGCACTGTTTCAAATGTAATGTACTCACTCTGATTAACAGCCGATCTATGGAGAAACAAAAAGAAAAAACAAACAGTCTTCAGCAACCTTGTGAGTAGTCTCTAAAAAGGAAAATAAGAGGGATCAGTAATGCTTTTGTACACTGTACACACATAGAAATCCCCGCGTCAAACTTTTCGTTCAAGATGCTATTCCCGAGGCATTTTTCAACTAGGAACTTTTCCAGAGAAGCTCCGCCAAGAAATTAACCCCTGTTACCCAAAAGAGATTAGAAATAAGAGGATATGGAATCTGTACTTTTAGTTTTTATTGAAGAGGGTCAAATTGGGACATGTCATTAAAAATTTGCATGAAAAGGTCCGTTTTTCGGTACCTTTGCCTCCAAACAAACTCACACAAGTAGCTGTCCACTAAAGATCAGTGTGTGCCGCATTGGCCTTTATTCTGCATGTTGTAGACATGCCAAAGAGATTCGATGGTTTGTGTATGAGCTCCAGTCGTTGGATCCACAAAGTTTCCGGCACAATTAATCGTTTCATGAGTATAATTCATCTCAATCATCGTTTCAATTCCTTGGTATGATGCCCACATATCAGAGATAGTGATTGAGCCTGGAACGATGCAGGCCTGGATTGTGTCCATTAAAGTGGCCGCAGTTCAATGTGGCACTGCATTCATGAACACCCCTCTTGTTTCCCTCCGAAAATCCACTGCTGAGGAAGGACTCTCCCTGTGTGGTTTTTACGGCAAGATATTAGCATTCCATCGATCTCGACATGTAAACCTGGGCCGCCGATAACTGTTGGAGTCTGCAAAAGCCGCTAGGCGCAAAAAACTTATAGCCGTCTCCTTGTCATGAACGAGAGATGAAAGCGTCAGAAAGCTCATCTAAGGTTTTTTTTGCACAAAATGAGCCTAGATGCAGATGAGGAATTGTTTTCATCAAAAACAGGTCAAGGCTGGGTGCGTACATTAGATTTGAGCTGGCAAAAAATGGTGGGGCTTAACTTTTCGCACATGCAATTTTGCACTAGTGGCGGGGCTTATCTGGAAAATATCCAAAGAAAGGTAATTGCAAAAAAGGCCCATTTCATCTTACCGCTTAAGTAACACTAATACCGTCCGGAAAAAATCTAATACCATCGTTTCACACTTTCTGTCTTCGTCAAATTTTAATTTGTTTTCAACGGCAAAAGAAGTCTTTTCATTCAATTCCGGTCTGGTAATGCCACCACTGGCAACCGACTTGCCCGACGGAGGCCTATTGAAGCCGCATACGTTTGATAGCATAGTGATCGGTGAACTTATTGCGTATTTAATCATACAAAAATACAGACAGCAGTTGTCGTCTACTTTGTATGCTTATGATGATGCTGAAAAGAAGAATAATTTAAGAGCACGTGATCCACCAAACTCAAAGGTTTCTACTATGTCGCTGTTTTTGAGACAATATGGCTGTAGTTTTTTTTACGTGGGAACACTGGCAAACAGTTTGAGGACACTCAGATGGGGTTGCAATCCGGATCGCCGAAGCAGTGCTCGATGACTTCATCCATACTATCTTTTGGGCAGTGTGTTGTCTGCTGATTTGCTGGAGCCACTAAAGATCCAGGCTATAGATAATATCAACGGTAGGAAAAGTGCTTTCCCTTGACTGGCTTCGACCGAAGGAGTCTTTACTATGAGCCTGTAAATTCCAGAGAGTTCATGATCAAACTGTCACCCGTTCAATGCTCGTTCATCTGAGGAGTTTTACGCCTTGTCACGCTATAAAGCCCATAAAGCGAATTGTTTCATCAGTCCTTTTGATGCATTTGTTTTTCATGAGGTCGTCACGTGTGTACATAGCTACCAATATAAAAACTAGTTTTATTGTTCGTCGTTGTTGCTATCTGCTACCGAGGTGGTTTTGTCTCACCTAATCCACGTTTATTTTCTGTTCTAGACAGCACAACATCCCGGGTTACACAGGTTGCATTGTGGATCATGTGAAGACTGTCAACCCGACTAACGGCTAACTGGAACGTGCCAGGCATCACTTGCAACACGGAAAACTCTCAAAAACTTTCAGTTGTGATGTAGTAAGGTTGTCTACCGAAGCGATACGACGCTAGCTACTGACCGTTTACACTCGTCCTAAAAAGGATGCGTGTATGCAACATTATCTGCTTTATCGCTCGAGTTTTGTGGGGGATGGTAGTTCACTCTGGAGGGGAGTTCCATTAGGCTCTGTCTGATCGCTCATTTTCGGCTCGTTGAAACCTGACAAAACATCGTTATAGAGTTCATGTGAAAGACCGTCAGAAAGCCAGCCGAAACCGCCGCTTTCCGGGAGACATTCTACGGTATACAATACGTGGCCAGTACATCACGACCATCATCATCATCATCATCATCATCATCATCATCGACCGATACTTCACTGCCGTATAACCATGAGTTATTTGAAAGCCCTTCTGTAGAGAAAAGAGTAAAGGTGGACGGGGAAGGGACTTGGTGCTAGCTTACCACAATCATTCCGAGGTGCCTATACCTCCAGACATTCACTCAGGCAATCTGAATAGAAACTGACAACAAGAACGCCATTGACATCAGTTGGCAGCCATATCTTGTAGTGCCTCCAACCAGGCCAGATTCACTAACGTCCACCTACGGCAGCTTGTGGTAAAGTTATCGATGTTGTCGAGCAAATGCTGGCTAGTTCAGGAGGTGTGGGTCATAATGCGATTGTATACTCAGCCAGTAAGTGTAGGCCTCTGATATTATCATCCCAGTGCCTTGGTCGACCTGTCCAGCATCAACCCTAACCTAGGCAAGACACCATCTGCAATCCATCTACTACAGTTACTACCATTTTATGAGTGCTACTCAAATCCATGTGTCTTGTTCGAATGCTCTTGATCCCATGCTACGACGAAAATCACGTCTATTATAGGGCACAGATTACTTGCTGTACGGGTCAATAAAAAGCAAATTGCACCACAGGAGATCGAACAGAAGGCTGCCACGTTTGCTTTATCCAAGGCGAGTCATGCGAAAGATTGAAATGTTTGTCAAATCAAACTATCCATCTGAGAATCAGTCAACTGAGTTATGAATGAGGTCTAAGTAACGGTTGAAAAGTAGAGTTTATCAAATGTGGCAGTGCTTCGTAACACCCTCAAAAAGAGTCGTCGATTGTAGTGTTCGCTATGAGAAAAAGCGTTTTCACTAAAAATACAGTTATCCAAAGTGATCTGTATTTCTCAGTACAGGTGTGTTCGCGTCCGACCTGGCAACTCGTCGTGTTCATGTCTGAATCTTTAACAGAACATCATCGTCACCAATGAATTCCATCGTCGAACTGACGACAGACTTCGGTTACGTCACACAGGGGTCTCTCTGTACATGTGTTTCCCATAGACATCATATAGGAAGTATATAACTGGCAGAGTACAGCAGCAAAGCATCGGTGTTAAACACTGGTACCATGGTGTTGATGATGATGATGATGATGATGATGGTGATGATTATGAGTTTTCTCTGGATTCAGTTGTTCTCTGGTGTCGTTGAACTTTGTGGATCATCCGTGCGCTCAAACACGCACTGATACTTTCCCTGTTAGACAGATGGTCAAAACCTGGTCAAAAACAAGTCAACCAGCTAAAGTTACCAATGTTCCGGTTCACCGCATGCTAGAGACCCTGACTGGAGCAACCCGTGTGACCCGGATGCTTCCAAGTAACAAACAACCGCGGTTTGTTCAGAAAGAGTTTAAAACAGATGATTAATGGTAGATTTTCAAACGGAGAAACTACAACAGGAAAAATCGACAGCAAATATAGACACAACATCTTCGTATGCGAATGTCTGCTCTTTGTTACCAGTGGTGCGACAAAGCGCTTCAACCCGAATCCTTCTGCTGTCCAGCTCGAATTGGCTTGACTGAAACAGACGAGGAGAAACTGATGCAATAAAAATTCACGTGCTCTTGTTTCCACAATAGGTTCGCTTACTCACCGAAAAGTCACGCTCATCATCATCATCATTGACATCATGATGTGGAACACTGATCCTATGTTGTTTTTGGTGAAGAAAAGAATGAAACCGGAGGCAGAAGGGACTAAATGCTAGCTTACCACAGTCATTCCAAGGCACCTACACTTCCGGACACCCATTCAGACAATCTGAATAGAAATTGACAGAAATAACGCAAACGTAGCAGCCATATCTTACAGCGTCTCCGGTTAGGCACGATGGGGATCATCGCGTCTCCAACCTGGAAGACGAGTAGCACCGAGAGCATCTTAACGTTTCATAATCCCTTTCATACCCGTCTGCTAGCTAGACGGTCGGTCACCTCTTTGCCTACGCCACCCTGAATTGGGGACGGAAAACAGTACTCTCTTCGACAAACGATGATTCGACGTTTGCAGTACATGGCCTAACCAACGCAGCTTCTGGTGCTGGATATATTCCTCAATGGAAGTTCTCGTCGTACAACCGAAAGCTCGCTTTCCAATGGCGTAGTTACGGATATGTTGACACCGACCCACACGAACTATGGTTGTGAGAGAACGGTTTTCGAACACCTAAAAACGTCTCAATTCCCCTGCTCAAGCAGGATAAGAACAACGCGCACTCTAGCTTGATACGGAGATGCAGGGATACACCACTCTGATGCCACGGGTTTCTCAAATTAGCAAACGTGACCCTTCAAACACTAGGGAATGTAGAAACTTGATCTCTGATTTTGCATTTCCTCCAATCTATGAACAAAGACGACTGTTTTATTTCCGAAACAGTAAATTGGAATCAACTCGTAAATTGGCCTGTCACATCAAACTGTGTAACTGGATCTTCGCGTAGAACAGGTGATTAAAAACACGCACTTTCTATTTCTCTGAGAGAGAACCTTCTGAGCCTCATTCAACCGAGGTAGAACGGGATGAATTAAACCCAGCCGGTGACTGGAAGAAGAACCATTCTGAAGCAGTCAGTGCTTCAAACTGATGACTCCTGAATGTCATGCAGAGAGGGGACAAACAGGTATTTCAATCCAACAAGATGGCTGTTGGCTTCATTTCTTCGTGAGTCATGACAGACTCCTACCAGTCATCATCATCATCACTGTCAGCTGTAATAACCGCGTACTCGTACAGTGGTTGTAGCTGCCGCAGTTTCGTTCACCGATGTTTTTTTTTTGGGGGGGGGGAGATAGGTACAGTGGGCTGTCAAGTGGAGGGGGGGTTGGAAAACGGGCTATGCATCGAAGGCAATAGCTTGGATGCACGAGTGCCATTGAGGGCGCGACTGGGACATATGTGACAATGTCTCTAGACATTGATGTGGCCCGTTTTGGGGTCCCCATCCAGGAAGACGGCAGTGACCAGCGCAGCCGTGTTTGCTGGATCCCGTGACGTGAGACACATAAACGAAACACTAGGACCTCATGTTTAAGACGTTGGTTTGTATTGAGTATTTACGTGTTCCGCATCAGGATGATTATGCGAAGGGAACAATCAAAATCAGGTTGTTCCTGAAAGCCCATCGTATACGGGAAGTTTTTTTTTGCAGTGAGATACACGTCAGTGAAAGGAAAACAAGGCTGCTTCACTGCCGTACAAACATGAGGTTCATCTATATATATATATATATATATATATATATATATATA